AGAAACGGTTACCCCTGAGTTTCTACACTAGATCTGATGAAGGGTGGAAAGTTGTGGGAAATTTCAACCGGGGGAAACCCAGCAAGGACAGTTCCTTCAGATTCCCTCCAGCATCGTTCCATCTTCAGAGAAGGGAATGCTCCTCTCCTCCGGTATAGCGGTGAGGGGCACCTCTAACCTGAGGGTCTTATGACCTGCCTCAGCGGAAGGGCAGAGGCCTTCCTGCACCTGCCATTTCTCAAATTCCTTCAGCTTAAAATATTCACTATGCCAAAGTGCCAAATGGGGTAGCGTGTCCTCAACCCCATCACTGAGGACTCCATCAACTATAAGGATGCAAGGAGCGCAGTCTTTGTGCACTCTTGCTAGAAACCAGTTAAATGACACTGGTGCCCCTGCCTCTGTTCTTGCCTCCCTCCTCATCTGCCTTCACACAGCAGCCAGAGAGATGCTTCCTGAGGTCATTCAAATTGCATCACTACCCACCCTCAGCTATCATGGCTTCCTATCAAGCTTGGCAAAAATTTCAAAGTCCTTGTCATGACTCACCAGTGCCCTCATGAGCCTGATGTCTCAGGCTCCTTCATCCCCTTCTTCCTACTGTGCCTTGTCTGTGTCAGACACCCTCCCATCCTGGGCCTTTGGACTTGCTATCCTTGTAAAAATGATTTTAATGGAAACGAGAGCTCCTTTACCCCATGAGTGACTTAAAAGAAAACCCCTTTCTTTTCAGGAGATAAGCATAGGATGTAAAAGAACTCTTATCTATACTTAGAAAATGTAATGCTCTCTCATTGACTAAAAGAAAACAAAAACAGATTACTAATTTCCTATCTATAGTTGCAACAGTCACTGACAAAGTTGATACAAAATGAAGAAGACATGCATACATGTACATATGTCGGTTGCTCTGTTGTGTCCGACTCTTTGTGACCCCATTGACTGTAGCCTGCCAGGCTCCTCTATCCATGGGATTCTCCAGGCAGAATACTGGAGTGGGTTGCCATTCCCTTCTCCAGGGGATCTTCCCTACCCAGGGATCAAACCTGAGACTCTCGCATTGCAGGCAGATTCATTACCGTCTGAGTCACCAGGGAAGGCCATAAACTTAGAAAATGTAATGCTCTCTCACTGACTAAAAGAAAAAAAACATTACTATTTTTCTATCTATAGTTGCAACTCACTGACAAAGTTGATACAAAATAAAGAAGACAACTCAGATTTTTAGATCTTGGAGAATAAAGGAATTTCCATTTCAAGTGCCTCTATTCATCGGCACATTCAGTTTGCAAAATTCTGGTACAAATAAAAAAATACCAAAATAAAAAACAAACAAAATCCTACCCGCTAAAACACACCCCAAAAGCCCCAAACCAAAAGACAAACCCTGACATGAACTAATCACACGCGGGTTTCATGTGCTGTGCTTTTTTCTAACCACTGAATAGTTTTTAAGACCGCTCCAAGCAAGTCACATGAAACCACACTTGGTGAAACTTGAAGTTCTAGTTGGCTGTGCAGAGTTCTTCTTTAAAAGACTGTTACATCACAATAGGCAGTGCTGGGAAGCCTCCCGGAGAAAGATAATCAAAACAGAATTCCTCCCAGAGGGCCTCAAGCTGCTTTCTTTAAAACTGTTTGAAAACACAAATATATTTGCTTTGTGTGTTCTGCACATTTGGGGGAATTCTGTCATGAGGCAGGTAAACTGTATAGTCCCTGAAGACTTCAGAGCTCTGCCAAAGGGACTTAGGAGAGTAAAGAGAGAAGAACTGGTGAAAATGTGTAGGTTTAGAGGTAACTTACAAACTATAATGAAAATGATAAAAAGTAAAATTCTATGAACTTCTAAAAAAAAATCAGCTGTAATCACACAGAAGGACTGTTGTATTTCAACATTATACAGGTTGGTTCGACACTGCTTACAAAAGCCTCATGGAAGTGATTCCCTTTTCATCGAGGAGACAAACATTGGGAGATTCAAAGACCGAGCTAACGGACTTCCTCTGAGAGGTTAATGCCAGTTTTTACAAAGTCAGAATTGGCACTTTAGACCTGAAGGGGTTTGGAGCGTGCCACCCTCAAAATACAAGGGCAGAAGGATCACTGCAACTGAAAGCACATGAAAAAGAGGAAACACAGCTAAGCTGTCTGCCCTCCCCCAACTGCCTGAAAGCAAAACCTAAATTCCCCTTGTGAATTCCCTACCAGGGGATAACCACCCGATCACTGGAGGCAGCATAGCACAGGTAGGCGTCTACACAAACCATGCTAGACGACCCATGTGGTCCATCAGTTCCCTAGCTAAAGGACCTTCCCACAGCCTGCTGCCCCTAAAAGCCTACAGCCATTTGCCTTGGTATTAGTTGGAATTTCACTGAAAGTTGTTGTCTCTGCTCTCATGGCTCAGACGATAAAGTGTCTGCTTACAATGCGGGAGACCGGAGTTTGATCCCTGGGCCAGGAAGATACCTTGGATAAGGAAATGGCAACGCACTCCAGTACTCTTGCCTGGAAAATCCCATGAATGACAGAGGAGGCTGGCAGGCTACAGTCCATGGGGTCGCAAAGAGTCGGACATGACTGAGTGACTTCACTTTCTTGGTCTTTCTCTGCAAATGGACTGTTCTTTCTTAAAATGTTGTCTAAGCCCAAGTTCTAAACATCCCTTTGAGTTACTCATCACTGAGTTTCTCCTGCAGGTATAGGTGCTGCACATGTAAATAAACTTGACTTCTCTCTTGTCCATCTATCTGTCTTTTGGCATTTCTAACTTGCAGGGTCCCAGCTATAGAGTCTAGGGTTTTTTTTTTTTTTTTTACTTCCCTACAGATCTAAACACATGCCCTTGAGAACATGAAGATTCCCTAACATCAGTAACCAAATGTCCTAAAGAGTTTATGTACCCTGGAGAAATTGTGTGGAGGAAAAACAATGTGTCACTCCTATGACTAAGCAAGAGGGCTGGAAACAAAATTCTAACTGGAATTAATAGGGGAACTTTCAGGGCTCAAGGGAGACCTGTAAAGTGGAAAGAGAAAAGAGAATGGAAAACAACAAAGCTCCCGTCCCCCGATGTGAGAACTTGAAGGCACTATTCATTTAGTCCCACATTTCCAGGGCTGTATTTCTCAGGAGTCAATATGGAAGCTGTCTCAGACAGGGAATTAGAAGGAAGAAAATCTAGCCGCAGGTCATATGTGACTATTTATGGTTGTGCTGTGGAGGCGAGCCACAGGACCTCTGTGGACGTTTCCTCAACTGTGAAGTGTACAAAATAACACTCTTTTCTTAAAGGTGACAAAAGGATAAAGTGCAAGCCTTTGGAACTCTGACTGCATCTTCAAGTAACTTGAGGAAAGAAAACAGAAATGTTGATGCTGGGGCTGCATCCCCATAGTAAAAAGTCAAAGTGTTAGTCATTCAGTCATGTCCGACTCTTTGTGACCCCACAGACTGTCTGTCCATGGGATTCTCCAGGCGAGAATACTGCAGTGGGTTGCCATTTCCTCCTCCAGGCATTCCACAGATCTAGATGTAATTGTCCCAGGGTGGGGGGTGGTCAAACTATCCCCCCAAAAGCACAAAGAATGCTCCAGCTACCACACAATTGCACTCATCTCACACGCTAGCAAAGTAATGCTCAAAATTCTCCAAGCCAGGCTTCAACAATTCGTGAACCGTGAACTTCCAGATGTTCAAGCTGGTTTTCGAAAAGGCAGCAGAAACAGAAATCAAATTGCCAACATCAGCTGGATCATCGAAAAAGCAAGAGAGTTCCAGAAAAATATCTATTTCTGCTTTATTGACTATGCCAAAACCTTTGACTGTGTAGATTACAATAAGCTGTGGAAAATTCTGAAAGAGATGGGCATACCAGACCACCTGACCTGCCTCTTGAGAAATCTGTATGCAGGTCAGGAAGCAACAGTTAGAACTGGACATGGAACAACAGACTGGTTCCAAATAGGAAAAGGAGTACGTCAAGGCTGTATATTGTCACTCTGCTTATTTAACTTATATGCAGAGTACATCATGAGAAATGCTGGGCTAGATGAAGCACAAGCTGGAATCAAGGTTGTCATTATCAATAACCTCAGATATGCAGACGAGACCACCCTTATGGCAGAAAGCAAAGAACTAAATAGCCTCTTGATGAAAGAGGAGAGTGAAAAAGTTGGCTTAAAACTCAACATTCAGAAAACGAAGATCATGGCATGTGGTCCCATCACTTCATGGCAAATAGATGGGGCAACAGTGGAAACAGTGGCAGACTTTATTTTGGGGAGCTCCAAAATCACTGCAGATGGTGACTGCAGCCATGAAATTAAGATGCTTAGCTTACTCCTTGGAAGAAAAGTTATGACCAACCTAGATAGCATATTAAAAAGCAGAGACATTACTTTGCCAACAAAGATCTGTCTAGTCAAGGCTATGGTTTTTCCAGTAGTCATGTATGGATGTGAGAGTTGGACTATAAAGAAAGCTGAGCACCAAAGAATTGATGCTTTTGAACTGTGGTGTTGGAGAAGACTCTTGAGAGTCCCTTGGACTGCAAGGAGATCCAACCAGTCCATCCTAAAGAAGATTAGTCCTGAGTGTTCATTGGAAGGACTGATGTTGAAGCTGAAACTCCAATACTTTGGCCACCTGATGCAAAGAACTGACTCAATGGAAAAGACCCTGATGCTGGGAAAAATTGAAGGTGGGAGGAGAAGGGGACAACAGAGGATGAGATGGTTGGATGGGATCACCGACTCAATGGACATGAGTTTGAGTAAACTCTGGGAGTTGGTGATGGACAGGGAGGCCTGGTGCGCTGCAGTCCATGGGGTCACAAAGAGTCAGACACGACTGACTGAACTGAACTGAATCACTTTGCCATACACTTGAAACTAATAAAACATCATAAATTAACTATACCTCAATTAAAGAATAGTATGTATAAGATTTAAAAGACAAGCATAAAAAGGTGGTACAAATAAATCACTTCAGTTATCTGCTCTTAAAAGAACATTTATTTATAATCACAAGCACACCCACTTGTTATGATACCACTGCTCCCCACACTCATTGCAGATGACATAGGTCATCATTTCTTCATCTGGGCTTGAATTCCGCACCCAACTTGGAAGGAAGAGTGTCCCTCTGGGGATGATGGTGACCTGGCAGTTGAATTTCTCGCAGCGCTTGCATTTTATTTTCCTGGTTGGCGTACCCTCCACCACTTGGGGCAGGTAATGTTCCCGTAAGGCAGATTTCGTATAGGAGGCTCTCAACTGCTTCAGTTCCTGGCTGGCCATCTCCATGGTGGTCATTTCGGCAAATTCCCTCGGAGACGTGGTCCCAGAAAGCAAGTTCTGCTGTAAGTGAGAATTGTGGGGGTTCTTCAGATTGGCCACTTTGCTGCGGATGCACGTTTTGTATTTTTGGAGGTTCTTGGGGTGAAGGGCAAAAATGTGCGCTTCGATTTCTTGTGCCAAGTTGTGCCACACGTGGGCTCTGGGCTGGCCTGGGGAGGAAGCAGTCAGAGCTTCGTACAGCAGCTCTGTGCATCTGGCTCTCACGGGCACTGCAGGGTCCGGCTGCCCACTCGCTGCCAGGTCAGTGGACTGGGGGTCCTGGGTGCTGACAGGCACTGCCTTAGGCTCTGCTCCGCCACAGCTATCTTCCGGCACGATCGTTTCAACGGCTCCTGCCACATCTTGGGATGTGAATAGAGAATTATACCTGGAGCTGCTCCGTACCACCTCCTCCTGATTTGGGTCAGGAGGAAGGCCTTGATTTTCTTCTTGACTTCCACCCGGAGGAAATTGTTTAGGGCTGCCCTCTGGCTTGCAGAGAGTATACTTATACAGCGCTTTCCATTCTGACAGCAAATGCTTGGCTTTCTGCTTCAAAGCCGCTGTGGGGCAGTTTTTGAGGACTCTGTACACCACCCTGACCACCTCCGTCTCCTGAAGGTGCTCTGGAGTCACATGCAGAGTTTCCAGCGCAGTGAGGTGATTGCCGAGATCCTCAAAATTCCTCTGAGACATCAGCTGCTCGATAAGGGAAACTCTGGCTGTTATCTGGTTTTTGTCAGACATCGTTAGAGTTGCCAAGAAAAAAGGGCTTTCCGTGTTCTCAAGCTTGCGTTTGCCAGGCGCAGCTCCCTCATACATGCACCGTGCTCTCTGCCAGGTACCTAGGCAGAGAAAAAGAAGAAGAAAGATGCTGAGTCATGTCCAACTCTTTGCGACCCCATAGACTATACAGTCCATGGAATTCTCCAGGCCAGAATCCTGGAGTGGGTCGCCATTCGCTTCTCCAGGGGATCTTCCCAAGCCAGGGATGGAACCCAGGTCTTCTGCATTGCAGGCGGATTCTTTACCATCTGAGCCAGGCAGAGAAAGAGTTAGGTAATAAAAGTGGGTGTGACATGTTAGAAAATGCAATCCACAGTGCAGTATGGTTCAGTCTCAAAAGTCTGAGTCTCAGTAGTTAAAAACAACAACAACAAAAAAAACCCAGCAGCCCTATAAATAGCCTCTGCATTAACAATCACTTAAAGGAAGCTTGCTGAAAGAGCTGCTGTAACTTTCCCATCTCTACTTTTACAAATGAATGTCCTTTCCAGATCAAGATTAGTCAACTCCTTTGTGTGGAATTTGGTGGTTATGTTGGGAACAAAAACATGCCAATGTCAGCGTCCATGGGGAAAGGCTGAGGAGGCCAGACTATTTTCCCCTGTGTTCAGCTATTTAAACTGAACTCCTTGCTGATTTTACAGTTTTTTTCTTTAATATATAGCTTTTATTGGCTGTCCTGTGGCTTGTGGGATCTTAGTTCTCCAATCAGGGGCTGAACCTAAATTCTTAAAGAGATAGTAATACAAGACAACCCAACCTGCCTCCTAAGAAATCTGTGTGAAGGTCAAGAAGCAACATATAGAACTGGACACAGAACAACAGACTGGTTCCAAATCAGGAAAGGAGTACGTCAAGGCTGTATACTGTCACCCTGCTTATTTAACTTATATGCAGATAAGACTCTTGAGAGTCCCTTGGACTGCAAGGAGATCAAACCAGTCCATCCTAAAGGAAATCAGTCCTGAATATTCATCGGAAGGACTGATGTTGAAACTGAAACTCCAATACTTTGGCCACCTGATGCAAAGAACTGACTCAATGGAAAAGACCCTGATGCTGGGAAAGATTGAAGGTGGGAGGAGAAGGGGACAGCAGAGAATGAGATGGTTGGATGGCATCACCGACTCAATGGGCATGAGTTTGAATAAACTCCGGGAGTTGGTGATTGGACAGGGAGGGCTGGCGTGCTGCAGTCCATGGGGTCGCAAAGAGTCAGACACGACTGAGCGACTGGACTGAACTGTGGCTTGTGGGAGCTTAGCTCTCCAATCAGGGGCTGAAACCTGAGTGTTTCCACTCCAGGGTTCCCTGGAGTGGAAGCGTGGAGTTCTAACTGCTGGACTGCCAGGGAATTCCCTGATTTTATAGTCTTGAAGTAGGACTTTTCTGAATATAAAAGCATAAAAAATAGAGCCAAAATCAGATGCTGTTCAGAAAGTCCCAAGGAATCTACAGAAATGATGAAACACCACAGGTTGGGAGGCAGCTGGACACAGGTCAGATGGGCCCCAACAGTCCACCAGGCCACACGATGCTGACGTCTAAGTCTTCTGAACATCGGGGTCAAGGTTCTGACTCTGCAATCCAGAGGATTTAGGACTTTGGACTAACGGGTCCCTAGGCTAGAATTCTGTTCCATTAACTCCCCCCCCCCACTTTTAGGTGTAAAAAGCTGGTTATGTCTGTGTGAACCTCATCCGGAGAAGGCAAAAGTTCATTTTATCTATTATCTGTCTCTTTTTCTCTCCACCTAATGCACACAACCTTGCCTACAAAATACCCTTGGATCTGTATCTCCCTGTTTGGTCTAAATGTGAACATAAGCATTTTGATGGCAGGGATATCATATTTTCAAGACTCCATGGACTCTTGTTTTATAGCATGTGATATTAAATAACAATCACCAAAGACACACAGTCTCACAACACTGAAGTGATTATAGAGATAGTTAATGCAGTCTTCCTAGACACCATCTGACAAGGGCTGTAAAGTTTAAGGTCCTTTTAGTCAGCAATTCTATTTCTAAACATTTACTTTTAAGGAAATGAGAGATGTGGAGGCTGTTTTTGTAAGAATTTTCTGCAAACTTAGAAGAAACGATGAGGTTCCAAATGGTTAGGCTTGCACACGAGCATTCATGGCAGCATTGCTCATAACAGACAAAAAGTGGGAACAATCCAAATGTCTATCAACTGAGGAATCGAGAAACAAACCATAATATATCCATACAATGGGGTGTTGTCAATAAAATGAAATTCTGATAGAGACAACATGGATGAGCCTTCAAAGCTTTATGCTAAATTGAAGACACAGATTGTATGATTTCATTTACATGAGATGTCCAGAATACACAAATCTAGAAACAGAATGTAAATTCACGGTGGACGAGGGCTGGGATGGAGGGAATCAGGGAACCAGTGGGGTGGAATGAAGAGGTGGTGGCTATTAATGGGTACACAGCTTTTCTTGGGGGAGGTACAAATTCTTCTCTCAAATTGACTGTGATAACCGTTGTACAGCTGTGAATATGACTTAAAAAAACCCACTAAACTGTACACTTAAATTAGGTGAACTTATGGTACAAAAAGTGTATCTGAACAAAACTGTTATTTAAAAACATCATCGAGGGAATGCCTTGGCGGGCCAGTGGTTAGGACTCAGTAGTCTCACTGCTGAGGGCCCGGGTTCAATCCCTGTTCAGGGGACCAAGATCCCATAAGCTGTGCAGTGTGACCAAAAAAAAAAAAAAAAAAAGCTAAAAATTAATAAAAATAAAACAACATCTAAAGTCTATTTATTTGTATCTTTAATATTTTTTCTGGTCATGCTGCACAGCTTGTGGAATCTAAGTGAAGTGAAGTCGCTCAGTAGTGTCCAACTCTGCGATCCTATGGACTATAGCCTACCAGGATCCTCAGTCCATGGGATAAAGTCTGATCCAAATTTTATTTAAAAATCATAAGTGAAGAGAAAAGGCTGAAAATAGATACAAAAGACTTCCGACAGTGTTATTTTCTGGATGGCAAGATCTCAAGTGATTTTTGTTTGTTCTTTTACTCTTTTTTATATTTTCTATTGATGTTTACATATGCACTGTTTTCCTAATCAGAAAAGTTATGGGTCTATTACAATTTCATGATAAACCCTATATGTTCCAGAGATTTGTCTACTGAAAAATGACATGGTACATGGATCACTCCAGTCCTACTGCCCTTTGGAATCAGGACACCAGAAGGGAAGCGCCTCACCTCATCTGTGACTCTGCATTCTTATCAGCTCTCACCTTCCTCAGAAGCCCACTGCTGCACTACCGTTCCGTCTCCCCTAAAACCTGATCCCCAAATATGAACAGGTGATCACCCATAGCTACAACTTTGAGGTTCCTACTGGTTTTTCCCCATTGCATAGTGCACATGATCAAGGTTCTGGGTCTTGTAATTTTTTACCACCTGGTGGTCTTCTTTACTTATTATTCTTTTTTAGTCAGTTAACAAGAATGCAATGGGCCACTGATTCTGGATTGTAAGTGGTATTCTCTAATTATTGAGAACTGGTACCTCAAGATCATTGTTTTTCCTTTTTGAATTCCATTTCTTTTTTTGAATGATCAGAATGAAGATTTATGTGTTGATTAATTTTTCTGTACATAAAGTTTTATTGGAACACAATCCTACCCATTTACTTATATATTGTTCCTTTTAAAATTTTATTGTAGTTGATTTACAATGTTACGTTAATTTCTGCTGTATAACAAAGTGATTCAGTTGTATATAAATATTGTTTTTCATATTCTTTTCCATGATGGTTTATCACAGGATGTTGAATATAGTTCCCTGTGCTCTACAGTAGACCTCATTGTTTATCCATTTGTATATAGCCAGTTCGCTTCTGCTAATCCCAAACTCCCAATCCTGCCTCCCTCACCACGTCCTCTTGGCAACCCCAGTCTATTCTCTATGTCTGTGAGCCTGCTTCTGTTTCATAGAGAGGTTCATTTGTGTCGTATTTCAGATTCCATAGATAAGTGATGCCATGTAGTATTTGTTTTTCTCTTTCTGACTTACTCACTTAGTATGATAATCTCTAGGTCCATCCATGTTGCTGTAAATGTCATTATTTCATTGAAATCCACTGCAACAGTAAAAAGGGTCTTCCTAAGAATCAAAGGCTCAGTCAACAAAGAACAGGCAAGACAGCACAGAAAAAATTAAAAATACACATCCTCACTTGCTGACTACTGCTCTCAGCACTGTCTGCTTGAGATCTCGGGACCTGGAGGAAGAAGGGAGTCACGACGGTCCGGTCACAAGGAGCTCAGGGCACTTGAACCCTCCCCCACGTGTGGGAACATTTCTGAGCAAGGACACAGTCTCCTCACGTTCTATACTCATTCTCTACGCATCGTTACCTGAGAAAGCAGGATTGAACTGGGCTGGATGTCAGCAAGGGGGTTAATAAGACACTGGTCTAGAGTTCCCCCAAGGAGGTTAGGCAATCTTTAACTCAGGTCGAATTTCTCAATGAAAGGTCAGAGCGTTAAGGAGACTCTAAAGGTGAAGTTAATTGTAGCTTCAGGGCTTCAGGGAGATGGAAGCACTGTTTGTTAAAACTTTTTCTTTACTCATGGAAATCTACTGAAGTTAAAGGTTTCATATATATAAGCACTCTGCTCTTCATTTCATAACCTTTTTATTTACTGTTCCTCTACATTTTAAAATTTTTAATTGTGGTAAAATGCACATATAATTTATTGTCTTAACCATTTTGACATGGATGGTTCATTAAGTACATTGACACTGTTGTGCAACCAGCTTTTTGAATGCTAGTTGTCTTGCAAAGCAAACTTTGTACCTATTCAACATCTCTCCACTTCTTTCTCCCCTGCATTCCCTAGTAACCATCATTCTACTGTCTGAGTTTGACTACTTTAGATACCTCATGTAAGTGGAATCATACAGTATCTGCTTTTTTGTGTCAGGCTTATTTCACACAGCATAATGCTCTCAAGGTTCATCCACATCAGAGTGTCTGTCAGAATTTCCCTCCTTTCAAGGCTAGATAAGATTCCACTGGATGGGTAGATCACATTGTGTTTATCCATCCATCCGCTGATGGACACTTGAATTGCTTCCACCTTTGGGCTCTTGTCAATAATGCTGCCATGAACATGAATGCATAAATATCTTTCTGCTTTCAATTCTGTCAGGTATTTACCCAAAAGTAGGGTTGCTGGATCATATAGGCATTCTATTTTTAATGTTTTGAGAAACTGCCATATATATATATTTTTTTTGGAGGAGAAAGTGGCTTTATTACTTTGCCAGGCAAATGGGGAACACAGTAGGCTAGTACCTCAAGAACTGTGCACCTTTCTTCCATATTTTCTGCAGCATTTCAATGATGTCAAACTTTCTATTCTCCCTGTGGGACAGTCATGTGGATAGAAAGCAATTTATTGCCTTAGGAGGCTGTAGTATGTAAGCAACTGGGATATAAAATGTTGAGAACTGCCATAAAAAGATGAAGTAGGCTGTGTGTCCAGTTTAGAGTTCTACACAGTTCACTGAATAAATATCTGTTATGTATCTCATACATGATAGATGCTAAACCTAAAGAGATACTCTCTGCCATAAAGGAGCTGACAGCCCAGCAGAATACAAGGCAAATACAAGGACAGACAACGCTGCTAAGAGGCACACGCAGGAGGGATGCACAAACCTGCACTGCTGCTATCTGGCTGGCTTCAGTTCTTCACTGCTTTCACTCTACTCATGACATGTTGTTAGAGGGATCATCTTCCACTAGAGATTTCAGCAAAAGGTCCCCTCCTTTTCTCGTGTAAGGCCCTTCAGAGATTCCCCTCTGCTCTCAGGATGGAGCCCAAGGTCCCTGGCCAGTAATGAAAAGCCCCTTCCCAGCCTCTTTTGTGATTTCACTGAATCACTGGCAGGCACTTGCATCCCCCAGCTCAATGCCTTTGCTCCACTAGCTCCCCGAGCCTGTGTGTCTCTCACCAAGAGTGGTTCTCACTCCTGCCTGCCAAGCCGTGTCATCTGGAGAACTTACACAGCCAAAAGAAAAACAATGCCAGGGCCTCACCCCAGACAGAATGAATATGAATCTCTGCGGGCAGGCCTGGGCACATTGCAGCTCTCCAGGTGACTGTGATCTAAACCAGAGCCATCACCACGGCCCCGAACACACAGGCACAACCCCTCTCCCGCAGCAGGACCGACCCGGCTCGTGGGCCTCCACCCAAAGGCAGTTCCCGACCTGCTCCTGGGCTAAACGCACACCACCTCTCCAACTTCACATTCTGCTGGAGGGAGCCTCATTAAGTTGTGAAATGTTTAAAAACAAAAACAAAAACAAAAAACCTGCTGTGCACAACTCACCTGAAAACCTTCTCTACAAACTCCAACTGGCGACTGCAATGTTTTCAGCGTCACTGTGTACCCAACCCCCTGCATTCATTCCTGCACTTACCTCCTAACAGTGGAAAGCAGTGCACGTGGAGTAAGTCTGCGTGCTATAGACGCTCATCTCCATCCTCACAGGTACAGGGTTTACCGCCATCTTACAGATGAGGAAACCTGTTAAGAACATCAAATATTTGTACATTTTTTCCCCATGGTGCATATCACACTAAAGAGGAGAGTGAAAAAGCTGGCTTAAAACTCAACATTCAAAAAACGAAGATCATGGCATCTGGTCCCATCACTTCATGGCAAATAGGTGGGTAAGCAATGGAAACAGTAAGAGATTTTATTTTCTTGGGCTCCAAAATCACTGCAGATGGTGACTGCAGTCATGAAATTAAAAGATGCTTGCTCCTTGGAAGAAAAGCTATGACAAACCTAGACAGCATATTAAAAAGCAGAGACATTACTTTGCCAACAAAGGTCTGTCTAGTCAAAGCTATGGTTTTTCCAGTAGTCATGTATGGATGTGAGAGTTGGACCATAAAGAAAGCTGAGCACTGAAGAACTGATACTTTTGAACTATGGCATTGGAGAAGATTCTTGAGAGTCCCTGGACTGCAAATGAAATCAAACCAGTCAATCCTAAAGGAAATCAATCCTGAATATTCATTGGAAGGACTGATGCTGAAACCGAAGTGTCAATATTTTGGCCACCTGATGCAAAGAATTGACTCATTGGAAAAGACCCTGATGCTGGGAAAGACTGAAGGCAAGAGAAGGGGATGACAGAGGATGAGATGGTTGGATGGCATCACCGACTTGATGGACATGAGTTTGAGCAAGCTCTGGGAGTTGATGATAGACAGGGAAACCTGGTGTGCTGTAGTCCATAGGGTCACAAAGTGTCGGACATGACTGAGCGACTGAACCGAATTGAATCACACTAAATAATTTTTTTCTTGTCTGCTTTCCCTACAAGACCACAGAAGAATGATGTCTGTTTCATTCACTGATACACATTTGGCAACACCTGGCCAGGGCTCACTATTACTCAACAAATTCTCTCCTCTCTGCTTGTGAGCATCATCCTTTGCACCAGACTGGCTTGCTTGTACCCACTGCACCTAAGCCCCTCAGCTTCTTCCATGGGAAACCAACCTTATTTCAATTTTAGTTCAGAAAATCATTTTAAAATATTCTAGTTTAAAAAAAAAAAAAAACAGAAGCACAGTGCCTCCTGTGAGCTAATCAGCTGGACCCCAGGAGTCAAGTCATTTGGGGATAAGGAAGGACTAGAAGGTACAGTTCCCAGAAGTATGTTGAGTATGTTGGTGGTGGAGGGAGAATGCAACATCATAGGATTAATATGAGAATTAAAAGGGATAGTCCTTACAAAGTCCTTGGAACTATGTCACACACTAAGCCCAACTTAGGATTATATAGTAATGAAGAGGAATAATATATATTCATTATATATACAATGAAGAGGTTTACATGTATCTACCATACCTGACATTGTTCTAGAGCCGAGGTTCACAAACTTTTTCTATAAAAGGCCAGATGGTAAATACTTCAGGCTTTGTAGTCCATCCAGGTTCTGTATGGACTACTCAGCTTCACTGTCTTTGTAGCAGGAAGAGCAGCCACAGACAATAGTATCGTGTTACTGGGTGGTTCAGACGGTAAAGTATCTGCCTGCAATGCGGGAGACCTGGGTTCCCTAAGTCGGGAAGATCCCCCAGAGAAGCAAACGGCAACCCACTCCAGTATTCTTGCCTAGAGAATTCCACGGACAGATGAGCCTGGTGGGCTACAGTCCATGGGGTCCCAAAGAGTCAGATACACCAACCACAGACAATATATAAACGAACAGATATGGCTTTGCTACAATAAATCTCTTTTTCAAAGACAGAAAGGCTGGATTTGGTTGCAGGCAGTGCTGTCCAACAGCAGTATAAAAGCAAGCCAGACAAAGAATTTAAAAATCTCTAGAGGCCACAGAAAAAATATAAACAGGTGAAGTTAGTAAAACATCTTATTTAACCCAGTGTATCCCAAACACTGCCATTTCATGTTAATTGATATAAACAAATTGAGATAGTTTGCATTCTCTTTTTCATACTAATTCTCCAATATTTGCCATTTTACACTTAATGCACATCTCAGTTCCGACTAGGCACATTTCAGGTACTCAGCCTTATGGACCTAGTGGCTACCATACTGGACAATTCTAGAGCATATGCGAGAACCGATAATGCTGAGGTACACACTTATACCCCTAGCTACTCAATACATATCAAAAACAGAGTTTATACAGTGCCCGAAATATCTGTTGAAAGAATGCATACAAAACCTTAATATTAACTGATGTTACAGGTATATGCAGAAAGTACGCACATCTGCTCTAAAAGCTAAGAACAGATCAAAGAGAAATCTCCAAAAGCTGGTAACAAATCAGCAATAACCTAGCTCAGTTTAGACCTAAGATCTAAAGATAAATTTTAAATTTCTAGCCACAACCCAGGTACATCTCTTTGGCTATACAGGCAGTCCCTTCATCTATGGCGAGAAATTATGCTGTCAGGAGCATCGCGGTTTCTGAAGTGGCACAATACTGCTCTCGCGCCCTTCTGCTTTAAGACGACCAATAGCAAATGTGCAGAGAGCGGAAGGGACAAGGGGAAGGGACTGGCACAAGGGCCCACTCTGGCCCGGGTTCGGGTTCCAGTGGGTGGGCTGGAGTGACAAGCAAAGTCTGCTGCAAGACTTCCAAGGGTGACAGCCTGGCACCCAGCGCGCAGGGAGCGGCGGCCCTGAGGGATCTACCCACGCTCGGCTGGAGCAGAGGGGAAGGCGAAAGCACGTCCGGGTCTACCGGCCCCAGCAACACCGACAGCCTCCCCGAGCGGGGTGGGCTTCCACTGGGAACAGTAGGTCGCCTGTCTGCAGCCAAAGAGACATTGGCGAAACCTGAACACCGCTCACCCAGAGGCACGGGCGAAACCCGGAAGTCCTCGGGGTCCTCGGGGTCCAGAGAGGACTTCCGGTCCCAGGGCGGGACCACGAAAGCTCAACCAATCCATCCAGCGGACTGGAGAACAAGGCCCGGGACCAAACGCATGCGTGCTAGGAAAGTGGTGTCTGCGCAGAGCGATCGATCGGCAAGAGGCCGGCCCCACCCCCACCCCCCCACCCCCTCAGCTCCCAAATTCGGGTCCCGGTCTAGGGCCGGCAATCTACAGCCGGCCACGAATTGAAAAAAATAAAAAGAAATAAACAAACAGCTCTACTGTTGCTTTTGAGCATCGCAGTTTGTTGAACTACCCTTTCTGTTTCCCATCAAGACAGTGCTCGGCTAAATGTTGACAACACTTAGGCCGAAAATGAATTTACTTAACGCGGTAATTAATTCAACAAATACTTATTGCACCCCTCGCATGCATCAGTTGATATGAAAGCAGAAGACATTCATTAAAGAGCCTGGTGCATGCTGCGTGTCCCACCTGTACACATTCTTTCCCTGCCAGGGTCCCGTAAAGACACCCTGATGGTAGGACTAGAGAGAGTGGCAGCCCTCTTTGCTGATCCTTTACTCTAGGGTAACTTGGGGGAAGGTTCAAGGAAGCAGGGTGACTGTATGATTGAGCCACGTGATAAACCTTACCTAGAAGGAGGGAGGACAGGACCAGGACTAACACTGTAATCAGTAACGCAGGAGCAGCGACTTCCTCTTAAAAACCTGAAACACTGCAGATTTATCCTAGATGAAATCTAAGAGACTAGTTTCAAAAGGCTATTGCTATGAAATTGTTTCCAGCACAAGAACAAAATGCTGCTGCTGCTGCTAAGACGCTTCAGTCGTGTCCAACCCTGTGCAACCCCATAGACAGCAGCCCACCAGGCTCCTCTGTCCCTGGGATACTCCAAGCAAGAATACTGGAGTGGGTTGCCATTTCCTTCTCCAAGAACAAAATGAGACACCTGTTAATCTAATTTATTGAACAGCCCTGGCTCTGTAGGGTGTAAGTAAGAAGAAACTTTAAAATTTTTCTCACCATTGCCTTGAAACACACTCTGTTGACTCTCTTCCTGTATCTTGGCTCCTCTAGGGCTGGAGCTTGAGGCTTGAGCAATCCCACAGCTTTTCTTTTCCTTCCAGTTTTATTGACATATAATTGATGTGCGGCACTGTATAAGTTTGGGCTTCCCATGTGGCTCAGCTGGTAAGGAATCTGCCTGCAGTGTGGGAGACCTGGGTTTGATCCCTGGGTTGGGAAGATCCCCTGGAGAAGGGAAAGGCTACCCACTGCAGTGTTCTGGCCTAGAGAATTTCATGGAATGTATAGTCCATGCAGTCACAAAGAGTTGGACAGGACTGAGCAATTTCACTTTCACTGTATAAGTTTAAAATGTACAGCATAATGATTTGACTTATATACATCATGAAATGATGACCACAGTATGTTTAGTGAACATCCATCATCTCATATAAGTATAAAAGAAAAAAATTGTTTTCCTTATGATGAAAGCTCCCAGGATTTACTCTGAACAAATTTCATATTAAACATACAGTGATTGTTAATTATCTTTATCAAGTTGTACATTATAGCCCTATTGCTAACTCGTAACTGGAGGTTTGTGTCTTTTGACTACCTCCATCCAATTCCCCTTCCCCTTACCTCCCCATAGATTTTTCTAGTCACTTTCAGTATAAAGAAGCAATCTTAAGTTGTTAAAAAGTCCAGACCTTCGATTACTTAACCAATTCAAAGCACCAATGCTCCCTCAGTTCAGGTGTGATCTGTAATTCTGTGGACCAGCAAAGGACACATGGATCTATTCCTTCACTATCCTTCTTGTACCCTTTATTGGCTTCCTGTGCTTTTTTTGGGTCTCTCTGGGATAAGGACAGGAAGAAAGAGGGGTAAAAAGCTTTATCTGATTAGAATTGTGGATTGAATGGTACTCCGCCTCCCCAAGAAAGATATATTCTCTTCCTAACACTAGAACCTATGAATATCACCTTATTTTTTTAAAGGGGGGGGGGGCTCTTTATAGATACAATTAAGTTAAAGATCTTGAGATAAGATCATCTCGGATGACCTGGGTGAACCCTAACCCCAGTGATGAGTATCCTTAGAAAAGACAGAAGAGAAGACACAGAGACAGAGGAGAAGCCATTGAAGATCAAGGTGGGCATCAGGGTGATGCAACCACAAGCCAAGAGACTCCTAGAGCCACCAGAAGCCACAAGAAGCAAGGAAGGAGTCTCCCCAGAGGGTTTTGGAGGGGCATGGTCCTGCCAACACTTTGAGATTGAACTTGTAGCTCCAGAACTGAGAGAATAGATTTCCGTTGTTTGAAGCCACCCAGTTTTTTATGGCAGCCACAGGAAACTAATTAATGATGGTGTTACCTGGTATCGGAGCACTCCAGAGGCTGATATTCAAAGACTGCCTCTTTTGTGTGCTCACTTTGGGGATATTTTTTGGAGACCCCCACCCCCTTGCTGGGGGGCCCCTACTCACCCGTTCTCTGGTTCAGATGGTACAGTGGTTGACCACCAGCTCCTGCATTTAGTGGCATGTTGCACCCAGCCTTCTGTTGAGTCAGGCCACCTGCAGACAGACCTCCTAGGTGAGGTCCTTCCAGAACAACCCAGCTATTTGCTTGCTACGCACTTAGCCCTTGGGAAAGTCCTAGCAGCTCTGCCCCCCTCCCCACCCCACCACAAGCCCTGGAAGCAGAGGCTGCTCCCTCTGCCATCAGAGGTTGACTTAAGCAACCCCTGCTAGCGCCTCACCTGTAGGGTTTTTCCAGGGAGTCAAACACCTTGTGCCCTTTCAATTCAGTTCAGGAGCATCTGTCAGTCTCTCTTGAGTGGTTCTCTCAAGTTCCCCTCCATTTGCTGGAAAGGTCTGAGGAAGTTTCTAGAATTCTAACAACCAGCTTCCAATTTTGCCTTCTCTTGTGCATCAGCTGAAAAGGGGTGACAAACCATGGTTGGCAGATGTAGTGTTGAGCTCCCCACTTAGCCCCATGTAGACTGTCTCTCGAGAAGAGTGCCCAGAGGACACTTAGACACTGAGCTCAGATCTAGGTGAAGTCAAAGTCAGGAAATTCCCGTTTAATATCCTCTTGCCCCTGAGGTGACCCGGAAGTCATTTCCATACCTCTTGTTCTCCCCTCCCACACCTTCTGTCCATTCTGCCCTTTCTCTGGAAGGGAAGTTCTTTTACCATAGATTTGTGGCAACAGAGTAGGAGAGAATGAAGGATCCACAAGCCTGGCTTCCATTACTTGGTGGTACATATCATTCAAGAGTCAGCAAAACAACATTGATACTACTTGGTCACTGTTGGGGGAGCTTCACAATCCATGTAATCAGAAAAATAGAGAAAAAGTACAAAAAGAGATGGGATGAAAGGATGCCAACTCAAACACCTCTGCCTGTCTATTCAGCTGACTCCTGCATTGCTGTTAACAAGTTTGAGCTGAAGCCATGAGGAACACGTCTACATGTGATGTGGACTCTTCCATGAGAGCCCCCACTGCATTTGGTTCTTAGGGTTTTCTTTTACAAGGATGTTGTTTTGTAAGAGCATTTCATCAGAGGAGCAGCATGTGTCCAACTTTTTGTGACTGTAGCCCACCAGGCTCCTCTGTCCATGGGAATTCTCCAGGCAAGAATACTGGAGTAGGTTGCCATGCCCTCCTTCAGGGGATCTTCGAACCCAGGGATCAAACCCAGGTCTCCTGCATTGCAGGAAAATTCTTTACCATCTGAACCACCAGGGAAGCCCAAGATGTAAGCAGTGAACAAAAATCCACTGCTTCCTTGGTCTTTCGTGCTTGTACCCCACAGCATGAAGGCTTATTGTCCCAGATTCACCACTGTACACAGCATTCATAGACCCCCTTTCCCCACATAACCAGGGCATGCTGCCAGAAGTGACCATTCATCAGGAACGACAATATGAAGGAGAACCATGCTCATCCCAGGTCTTCTGAGTCTTCAGTGGGAGATGCATTTGCCCAGAAGTGTACCATTCTGATTTATGGTGCCCAAGAGAAGCAGTTTTTCCATTTCAGCCTCACTTTCCCCCCATAACAACCTCCCACATTCTAGTTGCTACGTCATTTGGTGCATATAATTGTATTTATGTTATTATTCATTTCAAACCTGACTGAACCACCACCTAGGTTTCTAGCTGCTGAAGATGATGGTGTTCAACTCCTTAGTCATGACGAGAGTAAATCACTTAGCTTGCTATGTTGGCTGGGACAATTACATGTACTCAATACCAGCTTTTATGTGACAGAGTTCATGTGGTGGACTCGGACAGGTTTTTCAATCCAGCTTTCACCCCACCTTCTGCAAAGCCCATCAGGTGCCCTGCTCTGCCCTAGCCAGGGGGCAGCTACATGATCCAAGGCGGCCTGATCGCACACCCCTCCCTTGAAAGTGACTTTTGTGGAGCAATGTGGAGAGTAATTTGGTAAGAGATTATTCCAGCAGATGGTGGCTTCCTGATCAACAATGGCTTTTTCCTATCTACTTGTAGCCCTGGAGCTCATTTCCAAGGCTGGGTTGCTGGGCTTTCCATCCTCCTACACTCTCATCTTTTCTTACTGTAACTTCCCTTTGCTGTAGGTTAGCAGAGGTCTGTTTTCTGTTGCTGGCTACCAGCAAACACTGACTCAGCTTCCATCTTAATGCAGCTGTGTGATCTGACT